TTTTGGCTTAATATATAGTTTAGACATTTAATAGATTCAGAACAAGGATAACAAATTTTGTCCAACCATGAAGATCTGCAAACAGAGGTGAGAAATTCCATAGCCACACAGCCATCACCTTGTTATTGTGGAAAGTTCTGCAGCCCTGGGGACGGCTCTCTGCAATCTCTGTTTCCTGCTCAGCTACCCTCTCATGCTGCTCCTTCCTAATTCTGGAGTTGCAGTGGACAAGATATCATTACATTTTCCATCACTAAAACAAAAATTCCTATAATAAATCCAAAAGGGAAGAAATACTGTTTGTCTTTATCTTGAAATAATTTGTGATTTCAATGAAAAGAAATGTACTCCAAATACAAATAGGTTCTGTGTGTCTATCACTGTACTAATGACATCATTAGCAAACATAGTGATTACACAGAGGAAATGATATCATTAACTCTAAATTGAGATTTTTAAAAACCACATATGTTAGACCACATTCCAACCAAATCCCTAACAAGGATATGATACTTGTAATTATGATCATATGTAAATACACTGTATTTAAATCAATATGAATCACTTTATATTGTTCCTATAAGTCAAGCACATAAACTAGAGCATAAATAATGAATGAAACCCACTGGTACTTTATTTCTCATATTTTATAGTCATTCAAATTAAATAAGGTTAATTTAGCAATTTCTTTTCCCTTTCTCTTATTTTTATAATTATGTTAATACTTTTATATTTTGTTTCAATTTTAGGAAAAACAAAGCATGTTGGCATCCTATATACTATCACTCAAAATCTATGATGTTACAGAAAACTATTGGTGCTTAGACTATCAAAACTCAATTATGTGGATATTTATTTATGATACACCATAATGTCAAGACCCATTGTCTCTTGGTTATACTTCTTTGACAAAAATGGACTAAAGAGGAAAATTATTGGACAGGACAATTAGCTATGATTGTGTAACTGAATAGTAAATAAGTTATTGATGGGAGTTATTAACTTGAGAAAGTGGAATGGAGATACAACGAGAGAAGTACAGAAAATAAGCCAGTACTCCCTGAAGACAGTGGCCAGGGACTGCGGGGGGGGGGGGTCGCAGGTGAGGGGCACAGGAGGAAGAACTGTGATTGGAATGTAAAGAGAAATTTAAAATTTAAAAGAATAAATTAATTACATAAAGACTCATGATCCATGGCTTGTCAGGAATCACAACAGTTAGTCTCATGGGAACTTATTTTTTTCCAATATGTACAGTTAATGCAGCAGGCTTTAGCTTTTATTCAAGTAAGCAGGCTCCCTTGAAAAGCTGCATAGCCAGCAAAAATCAGGTGGACGCTATCAAGAGACTCTTGAGGTAAAGACCTTTGTTACTTTTGACCAGACAGTTGCTCTCAGTTCTTAAGTCCCAGTTCAAGATCCACATTCAAAATAAGAAGATGGGTGAATTCTGCATGCAATGGGGAATGTCACACAGACTGTAAGGTTATGGAATTCACCAAGGTGTAAGGAGCACAGAGAAAGACAACCTGTATTTCAGTAGATGATGCCCTACTGAGAGGAGTTACCTAGTTTATCCAGACTGAAAATTACATGAATAGTTCTAAGGCTTGGCGTTGGGGAAAGAACAGTCAGGATGATACACTTAGCAGATGTGAAGGAATTCAAAGGTACCCAAAAGATGACCTCTCAACAATGAAGTAAAGCTGGTCTGAAAGACTAAGAAAGGTAGGAAAAAGTTAGGATAAATTCCATCCTGGGCTTGTCTTAGAACAAGTAAATCAGAATCTAGCAATCTAAGTTTAATAAGATCACTGGACAATTCTGATGTTCAGTATATTTAATGTCCATGAGTAACGCTAAGGGTCCCTGAAAGCATTTAGGGTGCTGATTCTAGTCAGGAATTCCCGCAATGTCTTGGGGTTGTCTTTTAACTCTTTGGACCTTAACACTTTCAGTCATTTGTATAAAGAGAAAATTATACAGTCTCTTGCTCTTTCTGTCAAATTTCAATAAAAAATCATATGCACTGACATGCTTAAAGATGTTTCCTTATTAAAATTTGAAATGCATGAGTCAAATATTAATAAACACAAACAAGATGACCTAGCAGATAGACAGGTCTACAGTCTCATTGCTTTCCTCTGCAGAATGAGACTAGTCTTGTAGATGTGGAGAATTTATGTATCAATACATTTGGGAAATGATGTTAGAATGCAGATTAGATATGTTTCTCTAAGACCAGGCAGTGATAGTATTGACCAGGCAGTGATAGTGCATGCCTTTAATCCCAGAACTCAGGAGGCAGATGCATGTGGTCTACAGAGTAAGTAGGACCAGAACAGGTTCTAAAGCTACACAGAGAAACACTGTTTCGAAAGAAAAGAAAAAAAGAAAAAGAAAGAAAGAAAAGGCCTGTGTATTAAAAGCTTATTTCCTAGCCAATGATGATTGCAAAAGGAAATTGGATTGCAAATATGCAAACCCCTTTGAATGGCAAACACATTCATAGGTTTGTAGTTGAATAGTTGAATGAATGAACAAGAGGTGGGGTCTGGTTGAAGCATTCAGTCACCTGGACATGCTTTTAAATGGTAGAATTTGTCCCCATCCCCTCTCTTTAACTCAGCTTTTCAACTGGCCTGAGTAGGATATTAGGTTGTGTTCACCCAAGAACTATCCATGAAGGTATTTTAGGATTAGACATGAGCCTAGACTTGCCAAAGTACTCCACCACACCATTCTCCACTGATAGTTCACCCTTGCTGCATATTTAAAAAGAATAGTTAGTTTAAAGGAGCCAACAAACCATATACCAAACCATAAAAAATTAAAAGAATGATGATGATAAATCTTTCTTAAATTAAGTGGATTTTACTAAGAGATGTCACAATAGTGGAAACTGGTGTAGAGTGGCATAAAATTCAGAAGGTCAGATCCTGATTTCATTCCTAGATTGATAGCTAAACCTGCCCAGTCTCTGCCCTAAGCATTCTCTTCTAATTGGTAAAATATAGAAATTAGGCCTACACATTTTTTCTTGGAGAACATGGATTAAAACAGGTTTAGTATGCTTGGGCTTCTGATGTATCTGTCTGTAATAGCATGCATGTAAGAGGCCAGACTCATGTATAATATTGACACACATTTGTGGACAGTTCTTGGGTAGACACAACTATGTTTTCCTCCAAGATTTTCTGGTTTTGTTTTTGTTTTCTGTTTAATACCCTCTTTCTTCATCTGATTTGATAAGCATTTGGTTATATTTTAGTTATGTCTCAAATGCCTACAAGCCCACTGCCTCTCTTGAGAAATCTCATAGTTTACCCTTATCATTTAAGTATTGATGTTTAAAATTAAAGACAGAAAACAGACAAAACAGCTCACTGTCACAGTCTTAATTGCTTACTACTCTTTATGTTTTGCTCATGTTCCCTGCTGTACCTTCCAACAACCTCAATGGTAATCAACTAAGGAACCTAGTTTATCCAGTGTCAAGAACTATAGGAAGTCCTGCATGCCTTCATTTTTGTCGATCATGAAAGTTATTTGCCAACTTGATTTTCATTCTATAGCTGTAGTTGAAGTTGTGTATAATTAAAAGCATGCATTTACTAAGGATAATGGCATCTCACATGACTGACATTCCTTCTCTGTTGGTAGTCATTAGCATAAAGTATGAACAGGATGAGAAAGAAAAATTACTAGCTAGATTCACTGAGTTCAATTTAAAGATGACTGTGTGCAAGGCAGAGATCTCCCTCTGAACACATCCTGGGCAGTTAGTATCACACAACTGCCAAATTTAGTCTTGTCCTTGTCTTGGCTTTTGACACAGATATTATTTTTCCATCTGAGTCCAAGACCTTTGATGTTTTGGGGAGAAGTTTAGCTTTGTTTTGTTTTAGTTTTATTTGGTTTCTTTATTTTAACAAAATTGTATAGTTTATAGAATTTTTGATTGTTTTAAAATTAGTTTTTAGTATATGAAGAGCCTTTTTGGAACACCTTCACAGTTAACAATAATACATTTGCATTGGCTCATTAACCATAATTATTTGAAAATTAAATAAAATTAAGAATAATTACAAATTATAGAGTCATTTCACATTAGCAATTAATTCAAAAATTTAAATGAAAAGAAATATTAGGTGACCTTTTTAATTTTTAAAAAATACCCTACTGTTTAAGTTTATACACTACTGCTTCAGTAAACTCTCCCAAATAACTTCATTGCAACATTTATTTTCAAGTATGAAATTAGAGTCTAGATCTATCTTCAGCATGAGTCACTGATTAAAACAAAGTATCTATTAAATTAATCCTACTTCTTTCCAGTTGTGCCATTTCTGAAGTTCCATACAAATTATTTTGTTTGAAGTTCTTCACACTGTTCATTTATTAATAGTATCCTAATACAATAATCTTTGAATCTATATGTTACAAAGGACAATTCAGTCTCACACACATACAAGGTTTGGATGAAATTTGCATTTATATTTGTGGCACCAATGAAAATACAGATCTCTTCTAAACAATATTTCTTTATTACTATATTCTTATAATATGTTCTTAGATGCTTCAATGAATGATTAAACATCCATTAGTATATGGGAAGCACAAAGTAGATGTGACAGGATCTACACAAGGAAAGAAGAAAGGATGAGAGGGAGGGAAGGAGGGAGGGAGGGAAGGAGGGAGAGAGGAAGGGAGGAAGGGAGGGAGGTAGGGAGACACCAGGTTGAGATGGGAGCATGGGGCAGGCCTGCGAGGAGTTAGAAGAGGAGTAGGGGTTGAATATGTTCAAACTGCATTACATTCATGCATACAATTCTCATAGAATTACCCAGCTATTACTTTGAAATACATATGACCTAAAGTTATAGTTATTTCATTAGTTTTCTCTTCTTTTACTCCTCAGACCTAACTTGTAGCACCACATGCTAAAAAAGACAAGCCACAAAACTCTGCCTTTTTAAAGTAAATTTTTCTCTTTTCAGTTTCTACAGATAAAGTGATCTGAAGTTGTACACAATATTATAAGAGAAGAAAAGGAAACTGTGACCTGCAGAGAATGTGAAAGGTGGTTTCGTTCTGAACAGCAGCACCTCCGATTCAATTTATACAAAAGACCCAGTCATATGGACAGTGTTGTTCACTTTTAGACATACCATTCTTCTGTGTTGCAAGCTGTATAATTGTTGTTTTATTGTTTACATTGTAAATGTGTTTTCCCTCTTACAAATTATGTTTTTAAGTATTAAAGTGTGAAGGACATTAATGAATGGTGAGAGAGACACTGTATACAAATGTATATTTGTAAAAGCTATTTTTATGATTAGCATGTGTCATTGTTGATCACATAGTCAAATGGTATTGTAATCCTACATTTAAAGCTTGTTTCCCACTATGTCATATGGAGAATATACACTGTATGCTAGTTTTTATAATTTATTTTCAATTTATAGTTTAAAGTACCTTAGACCACAAGGGAAACTATTTGAAAAGACTATATTTCTGCCCTATATAAGCACCATTTTATTAATAAAAGAATGCAGTTATTTGAGAAGTGATGCAACTGTTTAAGGACTTTGGTTTGACACGTGAGCATGCTTGGCACTATTGAGCTGAAATGATCCAATCATCACCTATTACTTGAGACTGATTGTGAGATTCTTTGGACAGTTTTCAGGACTTGGACTGATGAGAGTAGATTAATAAGGAAAAGATTGTCTTGTCCTGGTATCCAAAAGTTTCAGTTAGTGCACACACCCCTCCATTTCATCTCCTAGTCCTCAGAATCCTCCATTCCCAAGCATTGTGTTTTCCAAATACTCTTGGCTATTGTCTTGTGCAGGGGAAATGGAAGAGACCATCCCCACAGGCTGTAGGCACATTCAGCACATAATTTCTTAATAAATACTGGTTCTTTTAAAACAAATTTGGTGTGTGTGTTTTTTTTTGGATGGCACTTGTTTCAGTATTCAGGGTGAACAGTTTGCATCTCTATAATGGGATAAAACAAGTCCAAAAACAAAAGCAGTGAAACTACACTTAAGTACACTTTGTGTCTGTTCAGCATTCTCCCCTTGTTATGCTTGTGTTTGAGAATACATTAACTTGCTGTACAAAAGTAACACAGAAGGCCCTCCTTGCTTGACAAAAGTCAGCATCCAAATCACATTTTAAGAATATGTATTGCTCTTCCAAGTATTCTTTTTTTTTTTTTGAGACAGGATTTCTTTATGTAGCTTTGGAGCCTGTCCTAGAAATCGCTCTGTAGACCAGACTGGCTTCAAACTCACAGAGATCGGCCTACTTCTGCCTCTAGAGTGCTGGGGTTAAAGGCATAAACCACCACTGGCCAGCTTCTTCTAAGTATTTAATGATAAGAAACTAGTTCAGGATATAAAACAGTCCACCTCATCAGGGTGTCTTGTTTTTCCGTCAGCCATATGTTTGAAGGTAGATAATTTCCTGTTCTTCGTAAAAGAGCCAATGACACCATCAATCCAAATTAGTTTTCCACCAAAATTTACTCATCTTCTTTAAGCACAGAAACTTAGGATAATGATAATCACCTCAATATATTTTCTCTAATTTCCTTTCTGTCATCTTCAGGATAGTTTGTTTCATAGTGAGTCTTTGTATATAAACATAATACAATGCAAAATAATACACTCGAATCAAACAAAAGATATTTCCAATGAAAATTCTGGAAGGAAAATTATGAGTAGAATTTGTTGTTAAGAAAACAAATATATTACTTTAGTTTCTTGCTGGTTGTGTGTGTGTGTGTTTATGCATGTGCATATTATTATTGCTATTTGTTTCTTTGCATGATACAGTGCTGACTTTCAAACCTAATATCTCATGCATAATATATACCCCTCACTTACTTTCTTCTCCTCTTTAGAGATGCCCCATGTCTCTTCTTGTCCTCACCTTCTCTGATTTCCACTCCAGGTACTCCCTTTGCACTTTCTGTTGTCTTATTTGCCATTAAACCTCCACTGAAGTACCACAGGAACACTGTGATTGACAGATGGTCTGACTCTCTGGGACAACCAACACTCTTTCAGGTATCAGCCCCTCCTCTGAGCCACACACACACAGAGAGAGAGAGAGAGAGAGAGAGAGAGAGAGAGATTATCATTGCTCTTCCCTTAGAAGGAAACATGAGGGGGCTATGGTGAGTATGAGACAATGTGAGATTGATCACAGCTTAATTCTGAAATTATAAATGGTTTTATATATACTTATTTACCTCCAAATAGACATATTTAGAGAGAATAAAGGGATGCTCCATTGTCTACACTGGGTGTCAGGAAATTGCATCTATGCGCATTTTCCAATATGTCATCTATCTGCTCTTGTAGTAATCAATAAATAATATTGATACCATCATGGTGAGGTCAACTAGGGTTTCAGGAACAGAATTGTTTCTCTAATTATTTAAAGAATAAAAAGGCAGGAAAAGCAAGGTCTCAGCACTGCGCCAAACTTTACTGGAAGCAGAAGAGCATACAAAGCAAATAATTCATCTTCACAGGTGGAAAGGGGATACTGACTGAGAAATCTTGGATTTGTTTAATAGAACCAAAACATTTATAGTTTGGGGCTGGATGGGACTCCTTTTTACCATCAGAATTGGTTGGCTGGGGATATCACAGGAGACAAAATGACCCATACAAAAACAGGAAAGATAATCTGTTTCTACCACAAGGTGTTCCCTGTCTATCTAATGGGAGATTTGGAAGTGTCACACAACAGTTCCTTCTGAGGTTAAAAAAAAAAGAAGTCAAAGATTTTATATCTAGTTGAAGAAGAAATATCAGAAAGTCAGCCATCTTAGAACTGACCCCAACTAAGAATCTAAGCAATAGTGGAGAGGCTACTTTATAAATGTTCTTCCCCTATAATGAGATTGGTGACTACCTTATATCCCATCCTAGAACCTTCACTCAAGAGCTGATGGAAGCAGGAGCAGAGACCCACAGCTAAACATAGAGGCGAACTCCTGGAATCCATTTGTTAGAGAGGGAGAAGTGAGGAGCAACTGGATGTAAATGAAGACAAATACAGGGGCTCATTCTTACAAGGAGAATGGCGTTTATTTTAACAAGAGCCAAGCGCCAGGCATTGGTGGTGCACGCCTTTAATCCCAGCACTCGGGAGGCAGAGGCAGGCGGATCTCTGTGAGTTCAAGGCCAGGCTGGGCTGACAACCTCCAAAACAGAGAAACCCTGTCTCGTAAAACCAAAAAAAAAAAAAAAAAAAAAACAAGAGCCAAGCTTTAAGTACCAGACAGGCATGGTGGAAAACCACCAAGGTCAGAAGCCTACATTCCCAGGACCCTCTGGCAAAGGATGGGCCAAAAACAGAAGTTAGCATTTAGACAATAAGGATGGACAGAAAACAGGAACTTGCAAGCAGGTCACAAGCTGGTCGGACACCCATGGGGGAAGGGTGCGACAGCACTGAAGATACACCAATAACAAACACTTTGCAGTGGTTTAAGGTGTTTGGAAGACTGGAGTCAGAGTGCCCATAAAAGCCTAAGTAGAAATAGAGATGAAAGAAGTCAGACTGATGTAAATCAGGCAACAGTGAATGCAGCAGAGGAGACAGGTATTTACCAGACCAGTGACCACATGGTTCAGCAAACAGGGTTGAATTTTCTGGGTTCCCTTAGTGGTCAAGAGAGGTCAGTCATCAGAGCTTTCAACAAAATATTCTTTTTTTTTTTTGTTATTGTCATTTTGGGTTTTTTTTTCCAATGTGAATTTGACAGTATTTCTTCTATCTATCTTATTAATATATGGGATGCAATCATTGTAAAATTTTATCAGATCAACTAAGAGTAATCAAACCCAGGAATAGCAGAAATATCTCTGGTGAAAAAAGAATAGTAGGTTTCTGATTGCTGTGGTAAAACACCATGACTGAAAACAACTGGGTAAAGAAAACATTTATCTTATCTTATATGTCCATCACAGCCCATCATGAGGGCAAATTAAAACAGAAACAGAAAGCAGGAACACAGAGACAGGAACTGAATTTGAGTAATGTTCTCACTAGCTTGTTCCTCATGGCTTGCTTAGCCTGTTCTCTTATACAACCAGGACCACTTGTCCAGGGGTGGCACCACCCACAGTAGGCTGGGCCCTCACATATCAGACATTAGTCAAGACAATACTCTTTAGACTACTTCCCTACAGGCCAAACATTTTAAAAAAATTTATTGAAAATACATTCTTCTCTCATACAATGATCCCAATCACAGTATGTCTTCCCTCCACTCCTCCCAGCTCCCCTCCTCCAGCTTCTCTCTCCCAAGGACCCATGCTCCCTCAGTTTCCTCTCCAGAAAAGAGCAGACCTCCAAGAGATGGCAGCCAAATGGGACAAAAGAAGACACAATAAGACAATGCAAAAGCCCTACTGTCAAGAGTAGATGAGGTACCCAAATAGGATGAAAAGAGATCTAATAGCAGGCAAAAGAGTCAGAGATACACCCACAACCACTGTTAGGAGTCCCACAGAAATACTAAGCTATGTTATCTTTTATTCAAGTAACATTATCACTTCCCAGATATGATTAGGTTTATATCAAGCTGACAAAAAACAACCCACATGAGTAATATCTAGAGGGGGAGTGTTCAATAATATTTGTTATATTTAAAATATTAGGAACATAATTTGACCTATATGTGGAAAATATAAGCTACTGAGATTATATTGGCACCCATGATAGTTTTTCTGCTTTATTTTCATGTGCTTCATAATGGTAAGAGCAGGCAGAGACACTGGGAACGCTGCGGTTTGTTGGCACCACACTAGCTTGAGGTTAATGAAGACTGTCTCAGGAGAATAAGGAAAGAGAGTCAAAGGCTGATAGAAGAAGACATCTGATCCTCTTCTGACATCTACGGGTGTGAATAGGCATGGACAACTGCACAAACATGCACACACATGCACAAACCACACACATATAGAAACTATTCCACAATTGTAAAGTATATAATTTGCATCTCAATGTTTATACATAGGCATACGATAATACTGACATACAGAAATGGATGGTTTTAAACAGCACAGACAAGGGTAGTAATCTGGATCTTTGACCCATCAGCAGCAATCTATAATTTGGGGTTATATATTGTAGAGATTTTCAGTTTCTTAGGAATTATTATGACTCACAGAATGCGAGGTCACCTTATATATGAGGCCAGGGGTATACAAGAGAAATATGTAAGGGTATTTAAACTTCTTTAGAAAAATGTTTCCATTAGCACTTGAGGTTTTGAAAATTCTCTAGGAATGAAAATATGGGTTATGCAAGAATATGGGGTATCTGAGCATGGAAAAGAGCCCCAGATTTTCTCTGATACATCAGAAGGATAAGGGATTTATGCTTTCTCTTTCATTGTGCATTAGATGGTAGGAAACTATGAAATAGGTCCTATTTTACATGTTTACCTCACTATAAAAAGAGAAGTCTTTCATTGTTAAATTAATTATCTTACATGTAATACCACCAAAACACATAGGAAAACTGCAACAGAAATATTTCTATATACCACTACAAATCAATAAGACAGTTAATCTGTTCATCCAATAATTCTTTATTGAATCTCAACTGTATGCTAAGTTCTCTACAACAAGAGCCCAGCTATAAATTATGGATGACATCCTTAATTTTGAATACCTTATTTTCTTCTAAGAGATGGCATCCATCTGGTCTAAATTAAAACAGAGACACAGTAAATTGAATACAAGGAAAAACACAAATAGGAAGGCAAATGAGAAAGAAAAGAAAGACTAGGTTTAAATATGGTTGGGAAAATTTAGTTGCTAAGGTGATTTTGAGGGAAATATGTGAAATAGATGAGGTGATGAGCTGTGTAATCACACACACACACCACACACACACACACAC